AGGAGGAAGAAGAGGAGGAGGAAGAAGAGGAGGAGGGTCCGACGATGGAGGAGCTGTCTCACCTGGCGTGGGCGGGCGATGGCGCGTGGGGTTGCGGCCGTCGACGTCGGAGGAGGAGGACAATGAGGAGGAGGAGGAGGAGGAGGAAGAAGAGGAGAAGGAGGTGGAGGAGGAGAAGGAGGACGACAAAGAGGAGGAGGAGGAGGAGGAGGCCACGATCAATGAGGAGGAGGAGGAGGAGGAGGAGGAAGAAGAGGAGGAGGAAGGAGAGGAGGAAGAAGAGGAGGAAGAAGAGGTGGAGGGTCCGACGATGGAGGAGATGGCTCACCTGGCGTGAGCGGGCGATGGCGCGTGGGGTTGCGGCCGTCGACGTCGGAGTTCGGCAACGACAACAACAACACCGAAGTTGTTTTGATTTATCTGTTTTGAGTCTGGTTTTGTTTTTGATTTTTTAAAAATACTTTTAATGCTAAAAAAATAAACATAAAAATATGGGGATGTAGAGAGCAAAAAAATCTACACCCCCATATATATATATATTTTTTTCACCTATGTTTTGCCTGCAAAAACAAAATCCGCGGGCCGAGTTGTACCACGTTCAACTTGGTTCAACGGGGAGTTGAAACGGGAGTTGAATGGGAGTTGAACCGTTCAACTCAAAACCCTCGTTGACGTGCGGGGGAGAAACCGAAGGGCGCCCGTTTTCGAATTTCAAAATAGCCCAATCTGGGTCGTCGATCTCGCAGATCGGACGGTCCAGATTAGGCCGTTTTGTTTTTCGTTTTTCGAGGCCCTACCGTCGGCGCCCCCGGTTTCCCTGTTCCCGCAGTCCACCCCTCGGCCGCCCAAGTCCAGGTCCTGGACCGCCCCCAATTTTTTTTTGTCATCGGACGTGGGGCCCCCGGCGGATGGCCGACCGGTTGTTCGATCGGACAGTCCCGGACGGTCAGGGGGGTCCCGGACGTCCGATCAGGTAACGTAGTTTTTTTTTCTATTTTAATTTTTTTTTTTTTTCACACATCAAAAACCGCCCCCCCAAATTTTTGATTTTTTTTTTTTCCGCACAGGCCGATAGCGGCCGATGTGCGCAGGCCGAGCGCACACCGATTTTGAGCGAGCGCCCCCGCCTGGGTGTGGCTCGGCCGCGCGGCCTCGGGCCTCGGCCGCAGGCCTGCGGCCTAGGAGGTCGGCCGCGGATCAGGCCGCAGGATCCGCGGCCGACGGTGCCACGTAGATAGGAGGAGGAGGAAGAAGAGAAGGAGGAGTAGGAGGAGGAGGAAGAAGAGAAGGAGGAGTAGGAGGAGGAGGAGGAGGAGAAAGAGAAGGAGGAAGAGGAGGAGGAAGAGGAGGAGGAGGAGGAGGAGGAGGAGGAGACAGAGAAGCAGTTCAAGCAGGAAGAGGAGGAGGAGGAGGAGGACGACGACGACGGCGACGAGGAGGAGAGGCAGGACGTGGAGGAGGAGGAGGAGGAGGAAAGGAGGAGGAGGAGAAAAAAGAGACGAGGAGGAGGAAGAAGAAGAAGACGAGGAGGAGGAGGAGGAAGTGGAGGCGGAGGAGGAGGAGGAGAGGGAGGAGGAGGCAATGGAGGAGAACGAGGAGGAGGAGGAGGAGGAGGAGGAGGACGAAGATGTGGAGGAGGAGGAGGAAGAGGAGGAGGTCCAGGAGGACGAACAGGAGGAGGAGGACGAGGGAGAAGAAGATGTAGAAGATGGGGATGAGGAGGAGGAAGATGACAAGGAGGAGCAGAAAGAGGAGGAGGAGGAGGGGGAGGAGGAGGAAGAGGAGAAAAAGTGGAGGAGGACGAGTAATAGGAGGAGGATGAATAGGAGGAGGAGGAAGAAGAGAAGGAGTAGGAGGAGGGGGAGAAGGAGAAAGAGGAGGAAGAGGAGGAGGGGGAGGAGGAGGAGGAGGAGGA